ACTTATCTCAAGCCAATCTTCTTAGTTAATATTATTGTCAGCTTACTATTTTTGCTTTGATTTCTTTTAGTAGTTAGAACTATTCAGTGGAATACTTTTATTCCACTGAATGGATCACATGAAATATAGTTACAGCATTTTACAAAAGAAGACTCAAAAAATGAGTGAAAAAGGAAAGCATCACATAGTTTTCTCTTTTGATTTGATGGGCATGACTTCACTATTTTCAATTATATCTTTTAATGTATGTAAATATTTTAATTTGTGATCTTGTCTGTAGTATAATGATAGATTTTAATATGTATGGCATAGTTTCAAATGCGGCTCTTAGAGCCTTATTCCAGATTCCACTTTTTGTTTTTACCAGATCATGATCATAGTTTTAAGCTTCTAAATTGGTCACCCTGAGTTTGGATTGTTATTACCATCATTAGTTATTAATACAGTCCCATGCAGACCATTTGTGATAAGTTTTCATGGAAACATTTTTAAATCTGTCAATAGAAATAACTCAGTAAAGACTGAGACAACACAGAGAGAAGTAAATCAGACATGCTGTGAGAAGTCAGCTGCTATGGATGCACTTCCAGTATTGCTGTATTAAGTGGCAGTCTTTAAGATATGTGAGGGCATATTTCAACATAGTAATATTTAAAACCTGAAAAGAATAGCTTTTATGAATGGCAAATCAGATACAATATGAATGATGCATTGAAATGTAACAATGCTTAAATAAAAACCACAAAGGTACTAATTTTCCCTAATGTTATATGCTGGATTTATAAAAGTGGTCCATAGAAACCCCGGTGTGTTTTCATCCAAGAGACTACTTCAGTGGTAGAATAGCATTTTTATTGATTTAAAATTCTGTGGCATTTATATCACAATTCAAAAGTAACCAAATGGGATTAGTGCAAGCTAAAATATCTGAGAGTAGATGTTTTAATGATAGGAACAAGAGAGTGGAGTACATGAAAGATGAGTAATGTTATTTGAAATGTTTCAAAGAATTCCATTCTTTTGCCTGCACAGAGATTCAAATGAAGCTGGGCACAGTAGGCCATGTCTAATCCCAGCACTCAGGAAGCAGAAGCAAAAGGATCATCAGTTCAAGGTCAACCTGGGCCACATAGCAAGACCCTGTCTCAAAAAAGCAAAAAGAATCTCCCCTCCCCCCAAAAAGAAAGAAAATAAAAGAAAAAGGAAAAAGAAAAAAACTAGAGATGAGCAGCATTAGACAAAATGACTAAATTTGAAGCAAGGAGAATCTGTAACTTCTAATTTCAGCATCAAGCCTCTTTTCTTTTTTAAGCTTTTAAGGTATTATTTTTCTAGAGTGCATTGATTTTAAAAGTCTGGCATCCTTCAATTTACATCAATTAATATTTTTACAAACCTCTGAATTTAAGAGAACACAACATGTTCCTAATATCTTGGAGATTTCAATGGTTATATTAAATCTTCAGGATTTAAGAGTGTTGGAATTTAAAGTCAATTATTGCATTTTCCAAGAGCTTCTGTTTTCCAATATATAGGTGGAAATGACAATATTTATAAAGTGCTGAGAGGTCCTCAAAAGGAATGGTATATACAGACAAAACCATGCTTAGCAGATGAGCTCTGCATGGTGACCCAAAGGTCAAAAGACACACTTAATAAAAGTTCACGTGTGACAGCTTCTAGCTACTTTACATGTCTATGTCAAGATTTATAAGAACTTGAATTTTCCTGGAGAGCAGAAGTAAAATGTAACAACCATTAGCCTCCATCTTGACTGATCTACCTATTAGTAGATTCTCTGATTAGAAGATCATAACAACTCACAATATGCAGTCAACATCCAGACAAGTGACTGAATTGTACTGTTTTCTCTTTTTATTAATCATTATAAATTAAGAAATATTGCAAATATATAAAAAGCTACAGCAAAAAAGAAAGCAGGTACTCTCTATACTTACCACCTGGCTTGTTTACCTTGAATTTCTTTGTAACTTTCATCTGCATATTTGGTTAGCAGATGTAAAGACTTTCTATAAACTAACAACAAAGAAGCTGTGATCAATAGAGTGGAGACACATAGAAGTGATTGGTGACTGATTCTGACATCTCAATAATAAATCTATTGTGTTGGTGAAACAGTTGTGTTCTGTAGAGCTTCACAAAAATAAGCAAGGAGGTGACAATTTAGTACAAAAGTGGTTATCTCCCTTTCAGCCCTCTTCTGAGCTTAAAGTTCTCAGGGGGGATTGTGTGGATTTGCAAACAAATCCTGGGACTGAGAGCAGCTAAACAAAGTCAGTCCAACTGACACTTCCCTGCAGGAGAAATATAACTCCTTGTGAATTGAACTTTGCCATCCCAGGTCATGCTTCTGGATGTCGGTAAGAGTTACCATCCAGTCATTAAATGCTTATAATCTATCGCTGAGAGCTATTATCCCAGAAACTATACTTGTTTTCCTGCTGACAGCAGGTGGCTTTCATCTTTGACCTGGATTTTCTTGTTTGTTTTTATCTTTTACTCCTAGAAGGGCTGGAAAGACTTCTGGATAGGTAGACAAGGGCATTTAAAGATTATTTTGTTAAAAAGACTGCAATTTGTGTTTCCCAGAGGAAAGGTACATTATAAATTCCTTCCTTTTAAAATTTTATTTTTGAATTACCATCCATTATTAATACAAGGAATTTCAATGTGGCAATTCCATAAATGCATATAGTGGACTTTGAACAGATTCCTTTCTCATCTAACAAATTTTGAGGTGGTAAGTTGGAATTTTCTCATGGTTTCCATTAATTTTGGATGACAATTGCAAATAGAAAGAGGAACTGTTTGGAAAAGGACATCTTCATACATTAGAATGTTTTTAAGAATATGATTGCTCATTTTATGACAGTGTTCTGTACTGCTGTTAAAGAAATGTCATTGGGAAAATAAGCCTGTCTCCACATCTGCAGAAATCTGAAGTCATACAATAGGTAGATAGAATATTATTTGAGCAATGTTATGGAGATAATAGAAGTACATACGCAAAATAGATATTTAAGAGTAATTATAGACATTCTTAGTACAAGAGATCAGTCTATGAAGATATCATGTGGTTTTCTTAAAAGAAAAATCTATTTCATTTCTTTGCTAATGAATAAAGTTTAAGTAGTTCTTCAATGTGTACTTAATAACAAACAGACACTTTGGTTTTGTATTAAAAACTCCCTTGATCTTGCCCAATTTACTTTTGTAACATTTCCTTTCACTACTTTAGTTGATCACAGTAGTTATCTAAGCCAAATTTGTCCTAGTTCTTCCAGTGTGTTCTGGATTGTTCCAGAAATTTTTTTTGTCCTCATTTCTAGCCCCTGGTTTATTTCCGATCCAGTCTCTACATATGTAGCCTGACCTCACCTGTCTTTGCAAAGACAGTTTTAAAAATAACGCTTGCCCAAACCTCTCCTTTCCTTCCCAAAATGAAAAAAAAATTTCTGAAGAGGCTAGATCTCCTTGAGTTTGTATACTTTTCTAAATACTCTTATCAATTTTATCTTGTAAGTTAACTATAAACATGTATTTATTAGGTGATATGTTAATGATATATCTACAGTTAGAGTTAGGTGAAGTCAATAAGGAGTGTACTTTCTGCTGAGAATGAAAAACTATTAGAAAGCCAACTAAAATTTAGTGTAAATTGTTTTATCACTACAAATTAACAACTCTATTTTGTGACAAAATATTACAGCTAGAAAGTCTTTTGTTGGTCCTGATTTCAAGCAATTGTGTTTATCATTGTACTTCTATTATGCATGTGTATATGTATATGGAAAAGTAAATTTAGATACGCTTATACTAGATAGCCCTCAGCACACATGAACTAAATTACACACCTGTTCCATGATTTGGAATTATTTAAAAATTAAAACACAGAAACAATAAAAACTGTGAGGTCCTATATTTTGCTAAGTGCAAACTTTTTAGTTTGTGTACAAAATACTTTACCATACAGTATATTTCAAAATTATTCTCCCTTTTTGAATTGATGTTTATTATAAACATCATTGTTTATTATAAACAGATCAAGCTTTATATAATTTATATTTAAGTGTAAATAGATTAATTGAAAAAGTGACTCCAAGAGTAATTCTTAAAAGTTGAAATTAAAGGCTTAATGTGTTTATTACATGAACCACTTCCATCTTATTTACTATAAGCACAGCAAAGCTAATTGACTTAAATTAATCTTATTAGCATTCAAAAGGGCATATTTAAAAATAAGAAACATAACTTTTATACTGAGTTGTCAAATAAAATGATATGTTTATTTATTTGATCTCACTATTTATATGAATGCCTAAAAATCTTTTTTAAATGAAAAATTTCAGAACAGAAATGAAGTATGTAAAATAAAGGCTAAGACCTGAAAAAATTGTCATATGTGTGTGGCTTGATGCTTAATTAGTGGTACAATAAATATGGAGAAGACTACTTTTTAAGTCTATGCCATATTTCCAAAGGATACAAATATTTTTCTTAATCATATAAATACTGTACAAGTCAGTGTTATCATCTATTGAACTCAAGTTGCCAGGTACTATACTAAACATTTTATAGTAATGTTTCCATTTGATCATCAAAATAACCTAACTTCAAGACATTTATCATATTTTATCAATGAGAAAATGGAGACTTAGAAAGTTAGTCTTTTTTTTTTTTTTATAGGTCGTGGAACCAAAAACTGGTATAAGAGTTGATTCCAAGCTCGTGTTAATTACTTACATGCATTTACTCATCAATAGAGCTAAATTGCTTGCTTGCATTCATTTGACCATAAGAAAAGCAATTATGGTTGAGGAACAAACTTTTCCATTATTTGGAAGTTCAGTAGTAAATGCTCAGGCTCTATGCCTTTGTAAACACTAAATAGTAAGTTAATTACCTGTAATACCTACCCATTTAATTGATGATAGAATCTTGGTAAATTTTTATCTTTATATTTGTTTTCCTTTTTTCAGAATGATGTTGGAGGACAACGCAGTCTGATAAACAAATGGACAACTTTTCTTAAGGCCAGATTGATTTGCTCAATTCCTGGAAGTGATGGAGCAGATACTCATTTTGATGAGCTTCGTAAGTCACGTGTTCTTTCCTTCTTGAAAAACTCTTATTACCTATTAGGCATTTATTTCATTTTAGCTCCAAGTATTTGATAATACATAACCCAGCCTAGCTTGAAGGAGTGGTTCTTAATAAATTTGCACAAGCCTACAAGGGCACCTTAGGTCTGGGCACACATTGTAATGAAGAAACTCCTCTCTTTTTAAGACTTCTCAAAGTTCGTGAAGGAAACAAAATTGCAGCAAGCAAAAGAAAGATAGGATTTCTGAGACTGCAAAATCCAGCCATTTCTCATGCAATATTTCACTTTGGCTGGAGCCACTTTCTACAAGTAAGAACTTGGGTTCCTTATTCCACAGATGCCCTCTGCTGGAGAGTATGGAGATTGGGCAAACTCTGCTCCTCTAATTTAAAAATACTCAAGAGTAGCAGTAGGCAGATCCTTTTCTATTTTTACTCCTCCAAAAGCTAATTCTAGAAGGAATTCTTTAGCTGTGTATAAAGCTAGAATCATTAGCTTTTTATCTTCTCAGACTTTTTCTACTTCTGCCATGCATGTAAAAATAATTATATCATCGAATGATTTCATCAGTATTTTGTGTTTTTCTGTATTCAAGTATAACTTCAGTGTTCATGGATAACTTTTCTGTTGCATATAAACATACTCACAAATAATCTGTTAAAGTAGTTTGCACATAATTTACTATCAACACTGCACTTACTACATGTGTAGCTATTTTTATCTTGTTATTAAAGAGGTAATTGAATTGCTATGTCAACACAAATATAGAATAACACGTTTTTCACTGGGGGAATAAAAAAATTCCTTTTTTTCTAATTTCCTTTTTATATGAAGTCACATACTTCCAATTGGAAATAATTATGGAGATTACCAATTGGATAATCTCGTTTATAAGGAATTGAGTAAACAAGAGGTTAAGATGTCCAACTCCGTGTTGCATTCTTAAAGAGACAACTTTTACACTTGAATTCGTTTTTTATTAATGCTTTTATTATTGTTGTAATGGGGGAAATTGTGAAATTTACCAAAGTTCTTACAATATGTCATAGTTGATTTCATCCCTCCGTCATTCTCTTTTATCCTCCCTTCCCCCATTCCTGGAATAGTTTCAACAGGTCTCATTTTTACACTTAATTTTTTAAGACATATTACAATGCTTGTTGTTTTAATTTTATATGCTGCTTAGAGTTCCAGAAATATTATTTTAAAAAGCAAACATATAATACCAAAAAATAAAAATATGTAATTACTTTTTCCATTCATAGAAGATATTTATTTGCTCCCCACAAGAGATGAAAGAAATCCTGTAGTATATGGAGTCTTTACCACTACCAGGTATGTTCACTAAAATGCTTTTAATCCTTCTAGAGAAATTTTATATGTATGTAAGCCAATATACTCATATCATCTTTTCGTCTCTTCCTTTTTAGTGGCATGTCATACCTTTTTCATTTTACCTGTCATTTATTATTTCTTAGAAGTCTTTTAAAATCCGTATAGAAGCTCCCTTTGTTCTTTTCATGCCATCATGATAGACCTACATTGATTACCACAGTCTATTCAACCACTCACCTTAATTCCTGTTGTTCCAGTCCTTTGCTGCTATACGTAATGCTTCACTGACTACCCTGAGCACATACCATTCCACACCTGAACAAGTGAATCTCTGGTATAAATTCTCAGGCCGATATTCATACATTTCTAAAGAAATGTATGAATAAATGATTGAGTTCATTGACAAAGCTGAAATTAATCATGAGATGGGACACTTTTGACATTTAAAATCTTATCACATCAAAAGCTGTCTTATCTGCATTTCCTTGTTACCCTAAAAAGATGGATGTGTGGCTTGGCTGATAATAACCATTTCACTGCTTTACTGCTCTAGGGACTTTTCATCATCTGTCCCAAGAACAGTACTAATTAGTTGTAACAATAGTACCAGAACTGAAGACCTTTTACTGATTTTTATCCCTGTACTTTTTACTTTTTTCTACATAATGATCTTATACATGTTATGGAGACTCTGTGATTTCCTTAAAGCTGTGCTAGCATCTACAAAGTGTTCTCAAGAAAGATGTGATCACTACTAACTTTATTTCATTTCATTCAATAACTTAATCAAAGCAAATCTTTACTCCTGTTACACATTACTGAATGTATACTTGCAAATACTTTCCACTCTTTCCACAACTCTACTCTCAACTTTTATCAATGTACATTGACATTAATATTGGAAGTATGGTTATTGATATAGAAGAAATGGTTTTCCTGTCTCATTTTGAATGAATTCTTAAGCTATTTTGTATGCAAATTACTGTTTATTTCTTCCTGTGGAATGATTCTAATTTAGTCCACAATATGTTAGTTACAAAGTGAAATTCTCTCTTGGTTCAGAATATATCAGCATACAAAACACTGTTTGATTAATTATAAGATACACAATTTGAACATTTTAATGTGAGAATGAAGAGGTTACCCTAAAAATCTATTTTGGAATCAATTTTCCATTCATTTATTTCTGAATATAAAAGATGCAAGAAGAGCAATTGCTTGTAGTAACTCACATATTTCAGGACTAGTTTTCTTGGCATCTTTCCATTCACACAGCTTTCTTTGAAGTTAATGTATGTTCCACACACAACACACAGATATGTGCCAGGGAAATATAGCCCCAAGATAGTTCTTTTTTTTTTTTTTCCTATCAAGTATCTGCCCACCCAGAGTGTGAAGTTACAAGTCAGCTCTTTGTTCCTGGTGTACTTTGTTGTTTTATTTTTAATGCTGCTGTGAAGACTGAGGCGATGTTGGAATGCATGTCACATCTTTTGTCAAGTGAGAGGACATAATTAACCTTCCATAATGATAGTGCCATTAAGCATGACATTATTCCTTTAAAATATCATAGAGAGATGTGATTTTTATGGGAACACCCCTCTTCTTAGCATCTAGTTTAATCTTAGCTGCCTGTTTATCATTACCTCCTTATGTTTCCTATTAATGTCATTCCAAGAATATTAATAATTGCATTACTCAGACTAGAGAATCATTAGCTTGTTTGTGTAATGCTGAGATGACAAGATCTCTTAGATCATAAAGGGTGATCTCACTTTTAAGAACAGGAATCCTCAAAGAAAATATTTTCAATATCCAGAAATAAATAAACAGAAGAAATATCTGATGAGTGTTAACAATTTCCATCATTAACTTGTAAAAGTTTGTAGAATTCTTGTGAAGCTTTTCTGCACCTTCAAAACACTGCCTCTGATACTATGTAATTATTATTACACTAAGTATCAGATATATTACTATAATTCATAAGCCCAACTCAAGAAGCAAAAAGAAAAAAGATTATTTCAACATTTAAAAATTAATTTACCAAAAGTAATTTAAAGAAGCTAGCAGCTGATGTCTATGATGTTCACTCACATTAAAGGAACAGATAAATGTAATTTTTATTCACATATCGAAATGATTACAGTTTTAAAATCAGATAATGTAACTTTTTATAGTTATTTATATTAACTTCAAATAAAATTAAAGAATATGTGGATAAATAGTATACCTTTTCCTGCACATTCCTCCCTATCCTCCATGTTTTCTAGATAATTCTTACTTATTAGTCAGGTGTTAATGTAGACCTCTCCTCCCTGAAAACTTACCTGACAGCCCTGTTCTGGGTTAAGTGTGCTCACTTAACTTACTTATCTGTAATGTAGTTACCATCACTCATTAATCAGAATTACTTGGCTAAAAATTCCTTCAGGACATAAGCACATTCTTTTTGCAGCACCTGTCAAACAGAATGTGTCAGATTATTTTTTTCCTATAGCTCTCAATAAGTGTCCATTGAATGATCAATGAATGATTTGATTGTGCTGTCTTCTTTCAGCTCCATCTTCAAAGGCTCTGCTGTTTGTGTATATAGCATGGCTGATATCAGAGCAGTTTTTAATGGTCCATATGCTCATAAGGAAAGTGCAGACCATCGTTGGGTGCAGTATGATGGAAGAATTCCTTATCCCCGACCTGGCACGGTATGTATCCAACTTAATAATTAAATTATGTTCCTAATCCCATATTTGATTACTAATTCTATTACTATAAAGTATGCTACTCTCCACAACAACATATGCTATTGATTTTTAAGGAACTATTTTTCATTTACAGTGATGTAGTCACAATTCCATTCTTCGTTTGAACTCTTTTCTTTATAATAAGAATTTTGTAAGTGGAAAGTAAAACCTGTTGAAATTATTCCAGGAATGTGGGGAAGGAGGATAAAGGAGAATGATGGAAGGGGTGAATTCAACTATGATATATTGTAAGAAATTTTGTCAATATCACAGTGTATCTCAGTACAACAATAAATAAAAGAATTTTAAGTTTTATGAGAAATAATAGACAATATTTTAATGTATGGACTATGTTGACATTGTAGTTTGTCCCCAATATGGCTACAGAATCATTAAAAATATTTACTCATCTAGAATAACAAATATCCTGAATTAAATGGCAATTGCAAATAAGTAATTGTTTCATACATAAAGCTCTGTGTGTACCTAAAGAGTCTTCTGTTCCCCACTTCTACTTTGAAGAGGCTACATCACATATAATCATTTAAATTACCCCTTTCTTACCATACATGTATCTTTTCTTTTTGTTCCACCTTGAAACAATATACATTACTATGGGAAGAGATTTTAAAGAACCTTGAGTCCAAAATTTTTTTCAAATAGTATAAATCATCTTAAAGCACACATAAATAAAACAAGTAAGAAATATGTTTTAGACTTTATGCACTTGTTTAAAAAGAAAAACTGGCTTAAAATGTTGTATGTGCATTATAAAAGGAAGACTTTCTTCATTTTGTTGATATAATTGAAATAGTTCAAGTTGTTTAAATAATTCAAAGTTGATTAATTAACTAAATATTATTGAAGGAAACATACATTTTATTTTTTCATTTAAGATTTATTCTGACTATTTCTTCCAAGAGCCTAAAATAATCGTGAAAATCTCTGAGGAAAATGTTGACTTAACCCTTTAAGTTCTACTTAATGTTTTTTCATATGTCAGTTCTTTAAGAGTAAATAGCTAGTAGTTATGCTTTCTGAATTCCCTTTCCACCTTCTTTTTTAAAGGTATCTTAACAAATTTGGGAAACATACTACATGACTATGTCTATTTTCTCTTCCACAGTTCTTCAATATAAATTTGTTTCAGGGATGCTTTTTATCCTGATTATGATGAAATCAATATTTTTGTGGAAACATTTTTTCAAATAATATGATTTTCAGAATTTACTCAATTTTCTCTCATTTGTATTTTCATAAAAACACTTCACCTATGATCTCCTATTTTAAATGTTTAGCGTATAATACATTATTGTTTAGAAGAGGTACTGTATTGTTCAGCAGATCTGTAGAACTTCTTCCTCTTGGTTAACTGAAAGTTTATGCTTAGTGATTAGTATCACATTTTCCCTAACTCCTGGTAACCACAATTACACTTTTGAATTTGATTGGATAGTCAGATTCATAATAGTGGAATTATTCAGTATTTGTCTTTCTGTGAAATGTTTATCTCACTTAGCATAATGTCCTCAAGGCTCGTTCATGTTGTTACATAGTGTAGAGATTCCTTCTTTTGAAAGGCTAATAGTGTTCAATTGGGTGTGTGTGCTACATTTCCTGTATCCACTCATCTGTCCATGTACATTTAGCCATTCCATTTCTTAGCAACTAAGAATAGTGGTGCAATGAATCTAGGAATGGTAATATGAGTTTGAGATTCTGATTTCAGTACAGGCCATTATAATTTTTATTCCAAACATGTTGGTGTTATAAGAGAAAGAATTTGTCTGAGACCATCCACATTAATTAAAGTCAAGTATTTGAACAGAAATTCAGTCCCATAATACTCAAAAATTGAAAATAATTATAAAACATTACATAGTGATACTTTAAGATTTCATTGCTTTCCAATTATAATGTAAGTTAGAGTTGGTGCCAAGATGGTCATTGCACCATTTTCCCAGCTCCTACTTAAAAGAGTTACAAATTGTAGGATGCTTAAAGAAAATTCACATTGTCTGTGACACTCCTAAGTGCATAGGCACCTATCTGAAATGACTATAAATGATTCCTCCAATTCAGGAAACATAAATGTCAGTTGGGAGTGTTTTTTACCAATGAGAAAAAAAGAATCAAATTGTTAAACATACTGGTCTCTGCTACTCGGACCTGCTGCAACAGAATTTAGAAATGTCTAAAAGAATGCATAGATATATAACATCTTTACTTCCTAACTTCTTTAGTCATTTTAAAGATTTGTTTTTTGTCTTTCCTTTTTTGCTGGTGGGAATTAAACCCAGGGCCTTCTCACATACTAGGCAAGAGCTCTACCACTGAGCTACTTCCCAGTCCCTTATTTAGTCATTTTTAAATGATATTTTAGAGCCAGGAATGGTGGTACATGCCTGTAATCCCAACACTAAGGAGGCTGTGGCAAGAAGATTATGAGTTCAAGGCCAGCCTTGGCTACATGGCAAGACCCTGTTTCAAAAAACAAATAAAAAGATATTATTTTTTACTTGCTTATGTGCTATTATTCAGTTTTACTCCATGACACTTTTTATTTGGAATGTTGAAGTTGAAGTTAAGAGCATAATATATTAGAACTGAAAATCTGTTACTAAATATGCTTTTCTTAAATGCAGTTTACCATTTTAAATAACTACATTCATAAAATCATTGAAGCTACGTTTCACAGTATATCAAGTGACTATACTTGTAAAATTTGAGAATGTAAAAATTGGAATGTATGATAGAAACCACATGATCCACCCTCATTTTACACAGAAGGAAAGTGATGCCCAGAGTAATTAAATAGCTTTCTCAATATCATATTGCCAAAACCAGCAAAAGGAAAAAGGATGTTAGCTGCGATTTTCTGAACAGTCTTCTTTCCGTATTCTTTGAGATTCTCTATCATTGCCTATTCCCTAATATTCACCTTATAGAATAGTGATTAGTATCTTGCCTAAAATTAGTGGCACCTACATTTATATCATCCTCTACCATGCTTTCTTACTGTACTTTTTAAAAAACACCCAAAGCTGTGATTCTCCTTATTTCCTATTCCCACCAGTTCATGAATTTTAGTAAAACATTACAATTGGACGTTGCTTATGATTCAGATATTGTCATTCACAGTTACCTGTTGTCTCGCTATGTTCTTAAGGCATCATAATTGTATAGATATTTTTAGTCCAATTTTATGGATGAGATCAAGACCAGTAAGGGTAAATGCATGTTCTTGGTCCCATAATTTCTAAAGTGGTAAGACTGTGAATTTAGATTTACTTAATACCAAATCAAAAGCCATGTTGAGTAATCCCAGCACTTGGAAGGGTGAGAGGGATAGGTCTCAAATTCCAAGGACAGCTTGGGCTACATAAAGAGATCCTGTCTCAAACAAAATAAACAAAAAGCCACATTGATCTGCCTTCACAGTGATAGAAACAATCAAGCAATCCAAAAACAAACGGAAAGAAATTTACAGTCTTTCCCCAGGGATTGATCTGTCCTCCACACCCCCAATAATGAGGGTCTGAATCCTTACTACTTGTTGTTTCATTGTAACACAATGGAACGCACTGCTTTCTATGTAGTAGATGGAACATTTACTGAATGTTATTTTATACTTAAGTTAAAATTTTAAAATAGATTATTTTTAAAAATTGCCTTTGCTTTTACATTTTCTGTATTCATACTGGCACTAAGACTGAATTCTTAGTGAGGTCTAGGGACCTCGCTGACGTAATCACTCGAACACGACAGGCACAGTAGTGCGTCATAACTGCTTTAGCGTTTTTGGTTTTGAAAGAATCCTGTAACTCTTTTGACCAAAAATCAAATCTAAACTCCTAGGTTTGCCATCATATTCTACAATGTTAATAAATCTGGAAAACCACAAGGAAACATTTACAGAATTCCTTCACTTCAAGTGATTCTTCTGCCCTCTGGTGTCCAAATATAATGTCTGTTCAATTCATATTTTGTTCACATGGACTTTCTCAATCATTACTGACTTGCTGGGTTTGGTAATACAAAGTTCCAAGTGAAATGAAATATCTTAAGTTGAGTGGCACAAATCAAATATGGACACCAAACTGAAGTCAGGCCAAAGTTAATACCCTGTACTAGAAAACTCAAAATCTGGGGAGGATTTGTCAAGACAGATTTCAATTTTGATAATTGATTTACTAGAAAAACTTTACTTCAGTTTTAGCAAATAAACCAGTTTCATTCTATAATTTTAGTCTGTGTTGACAAGGAATTTTTAATATTTGTCCAAAGACTCAAAATAAAACACTGCTCAACGTTTACTCAATAGTGAATTTTACCAAAAGGTAAGAATAAACTCTTTGCTCTTTAAGTTCAAATTCTTCATGAAACATATGTTTCAAGACTCTTGAAACATCTTGCTATATTTTTGATGATTTCTAAATGTCTAATTTTATCAAAATAACAATTCATTATTTAATTCCAGTTTCTTTTAAAAGGCTGTTGCTTCTACTGTTAAGTTTTTTTAGCTTTACTTTTAAGTATAGAAACACATAATTATTCCAACTAACCTTCCGTTTCTAGGTATGGAGTAAAAGAAGGTGGTAATTGTTAATGTCATTAATTTTATAACTTTTTTACTATATGGGCACTGGTGAATGATAAACATTATAATTCTTATTAAGAGCTTAAACAACAGTAAAGTCAGTTACTTCTTTCTATAGATTTTTTTACATGGTACAAATAGAGTAATAATTCTGTGAATTTCTTGGTCCAAGAATTTGAAACAGAGCCACCCTTCAAGGAATTCCATGACATGGTAAAAGGCACCCTGGACACTGTGTCTAAAGACCACTTCCCCTGCCAGCTCTGCCTCTTCTACCCCTTCTCCTAAACACCTAGAATAAATGCTAGTTTTCAACTCAAACTGTTTACCCCATTGGGGTATGGGCTTTAGTTGGTTTTTC